CACGGGCTCGGCCCCAGATTTTTTTTTTTTTTTGAGACCGGCCGCACCACGCCAAGCCAGTGAGCTGGGGACCCCCCATCCCCATATAGGATCCGAACCCGCTGCGGGAGCCCTGCTGCGCTCCCAGCGCTGCACTCTCCCAAGTGCGCCACGGGCTCGGCCCCAGATTTTTTTTTTTTTTTTTAAATGAAAAATCTGATGATTAAATTGTAGCCACCAATTCAAATTTTAAACATTGGGTGGGGGCCGGCCTGTGGCTCACTCGGGAGAGTGCGGTGCTGATAACACCAAGGCCCCGGGTTCGGATCCCACATAGGGATGGCCGGTTCGCTCACTGGCTGAGCGTGGTGCTGACAACACCAAGTCAAGGGTTAAGATCCCCTTACCGGTCATCTTTTAAAAAAAAAAAAAAAAAAGATAAACATTGGGGGGATAAAATAACAAATGTCTATAGGCTGAATTGGGCCCACCAGCTGCTCTTTGTGACATCTGCATTTGTGACCGTTTAATTTAACCTGGCGCTGTAGATGCCTTGCCTGTCTCTTTTCTCAACCTTCACAGCGGTTCAGCCTCCAGTCTTTTTTTTTTTTTTAAAGATGACCGGTAAGGGGATCTTAACCCTTGACTTGGTGTTGTCAGCACCACGCTCAGCCAGTGAGCGAACCGGCCATCCCTATGTGGGATCCGAACCCGGGGCCTTGGTGTTATCAGCACCGCACTCTCCCGAGTGAGCCACGGGCCGGCCCTAGGGAGAGTGTCTTAAGGGGGAGGCTCTAGAATTAGATAGACCTGGATTCAAATCTTGGTGATGCAGCGACCTTGGCCAAGTTACTTAATGCCCATGCCTTGGTTTGCTCATTGTAAAATGGAGATATTAATGACCCCTATCTTATCTGGTTGCTATGAGGATTAGATGATATAGCGTATGCAGAAATCTTCATTTAGTGCCAGGCACATAGCCAATGCTCAGTAAATGATCATTCTTTTCAGGCAGGACAGGTCAGGATTTTGAGTTTGGTATTTTTGATGAGCCTTACCCATACTGAACTTTGAATCCTGATTCAGCACTTGCCAGCTGTGTGCCTTGAACAAGTTCTTGAACCTCTCTGAGTCAGTGTTCTTATCTGTTAAATGCAGTTTACAATTCCCGCCTCATAGTGAAGGTGAAATGAGATCAGAGCACCTGATACATAGTAAGTGCTCAAAATACTCACTTCCTCCCCCTTTGGATTTCAAGTATCTGAAATATGGCCCCTTTAAGCTTGTTAAGATTCCTCACTAGCCTTGTATGCAGCTGTGGGCAGACAGCTTTGGCAGAAGGAAAGCAGCTCTTTTTTTTTTTTTTTTTTTTTTTTTTTTTTTTTTTTTTTTTTTTTTTTTTTTTTTTTTTTTTTTTTTTTTTTTTTTTTTTTTTTTTTTAATGACTGTTTCATAATCTGTTGGCTCAGATCTGCTGCTGCCACACCCTGTGCTTCTCAGGGTCCCTGGGTACAGTTGCAGTTAGCATGTGCCTTGCCTCTAACCTAAATGACCCTGGAAAGTGGCTGCTACAGAAGACAGACGTTACTGAATGCAAAGTGGATTTTATTCCCTGCTCTTTGGGGTGAAGCTGGCTCAGGGATTCTTAGTGGCAGGGGGAGGGGCTGGCGGGCCTGGACTGCAGTTGGACTTAGCAGCCAGGGGTTTTCTGGTTTTCATTAAAATTCTCTGGCTGTCTTTCGGGATTGCTCCATTGGATATGACTATGCACTGGAGCCGGTCGCTGCAGTTCTTTCAGCTACACACGCCCATCGAATCATAGTGGCCCTGAGGACGAGAGAAAATTGAAGGTGGAGAACAGCCTGACTGAGGGGGTCTCGCTCAGCAATATTTGTAATAATGGACCCTCATCTATAACTATAGAGCTTGAGTATTGCAAAGCCTTAAATACAGATAGGGAGGCAGATGCAGCTGAGCTGGGAATGGGGAGTAGAGTGAATCCTATTACAGCTTGCTCTTGAGGACAGACTTATTCTTAGGACATTTGGGGGTTTCCTGGCAGCTGTCAGAAGGTTCCCAGTTGTTACATTAATGAAATCAGTCTGATCCGATTATTCTTTGGAGGTGCTGATATAGTCACATGCCCAAGGGGTTTGGGTTTGGGTGGCAGTTCTGAGGGCAACAGGCTGAATTAGAGACAAGAGGATTCAGTTTTAAATGTTAATTTCTGGAAGCTGGAGGAATCTCTCTTGAGATTGAAACTTGAGTCTGAAAACTTAGGTTCAAATCATGACCCTGCTATTAACTTGCTTTATGACCTTGGGCAAGTTACTTTCCTGGGTCTCAGCTTCACAGTGTGGTTGCAAGGATTAAATGAATAAATTATGTAAAGCTCTTGGCATATCATATGTTCTCAACAAATGGTAGATGTTATAATAATTTGGGCTAGATTTGACCTGCCACTCCAGCTCACCATGATGTATCCCAATTCTGTCATCTAAAACATTTGTTCTACATCCCTCCCAGCTTTGTGTCATTTAAGAATTTGGGGCAATGATGCTCCCTAGGGCAAGCTGAAAGTCCTCTCACTGGAAAAATATATCAAAACCATATTATTATGTTTCCCAATGACAGGCTTAAGATGTTATATGTTTCATCTCTAGGTAACTTAGTAGAAAAAAAGGATTTTTCCTATTCTTGATGGATAGATTGTGGGAAAGCCATTTTAATTGATCTTAGGCATAACTATCCCTTGATAATACTCCCAAGAGAGCATCACTAAGGCTCCCATTTCAGAGTAAACTTTTTCAGAGTAAACTCCATTTCCAGGATTTTCTCCTTTTACTCTACTCTTCAAACCCTGTGACTAGCCACAGTGGACTGCTTACGTAAAAATAATTAATAGAGTTGGTTAGAGCACAGTGTTATAACCCAAGGTCAAGGGTTCAGATCTCCATACTGGCCAGCCACCAAAAACAGAAAAAAAACATTAATATGAAACATATAATGCATACCAAAGAATGTTTCAAATATAAGTTTACGGTTTGCAGAAGAAGATTAAAATTGTGTATCCACCATGCAATTGATAAAAATGAACATTATTGGTACTACCCTAGAAGCTGCTGGAGTTTACCCTGCCCTGAAATCACGGCTTCCCTTCTTACCAGAGGTAATGATTACTCTGACTTTCGTGTTGATCATGCCCACCCATGTTTGTATTACCAACACATATATTGTTCAGTTTTTTTTAAAACAAAGAAGCAAGCACAAACCTTTGTAAGAAAAGGGTAATATTGGTACTATTAGTACTCTGGCTCATAATTTGGCTTTAGTTTCCCTGAGGGTTACAAAAGTCCCTAATGGGAAAGTCAGTGAGCAAGGTTATGAATGAATCCTAGGAAATATAAGGCTCACCACTACTGGGGCACCTGACGGGGTTGTAGTGTGGGCAGGTACTGGACGGGAGCATGGTCACAGAGAGTGGACTGCTCGGTCTTTTCTACTTCTAGTCCCTCTTTGGCCTACCTGCAGCTCTCAGGGAGTAGGTCAAAGCAAAACTCTTCTGTAAGATGGAGTTAGTGACAACAGCATGGAGGAGATGAGCAGATACTTCACCAGCACATGGTGAAGGCAAGTAGAGTCTGAAAAGAATCTGGACTAAGTTTACCTATGTGTGCTTTGTGAGGTTGAAAAGAGAGTATGCTGTATAGCGTGTGAAATTTTTTTACCTGAAAGTTGACTCCTAAATCTAATCAAGCCTCTAGAGCTAACTTTGATTTATTGGAAAGATGGGGAAAAGGATGACAAGTTGAATTACACTCTACGGAAGCAAACAAATAAATTCAGAATGTAGAACATTCTGTCAGACAACTGACTTGGTTTCTGCGGCAAGTCAATGGCATGAAAAAATAAAAAAGTGACTGAAGAATTATAACCAAATGTAATATGTGAACCTTGTTTTGATTTGGATAGTCTATGTATTAGTTTGCTAGGGCTGCTATCACAAAATGCCACAGACAAAATACTGTAACAAATAAATAACAGAAATTTATTTCCTCTCAGTTCTGGAGGCTGGAAGTCCAAGATCAACGTGCAGGCAGGGTTGGCTTGCAGATGGCTCTCCCCTTGCTGCCTCTTCATATGGTCCTTCCTCTGTGCACACATGCCCCTGGTATCTCTCTGTGTGTCCTAATCTCCTCTTCTTATGAGGACACCACTCAGATTAGATGAAGGCTCACTTTAACAGCCTCATTTTATCTTACAGTAGTACCACCTTATCTGCTGTTTCACTTTCCATGGTTTCAATTACCTGTGGTCAACTGCATTCTGAAAATGGATGAAGGCTCACTTTAACAGCCTCATTTTATCTTACAGTAGTACCCCCTTATCTGCTGTTTCACTTTCCATGGTTTCAATTACCTGTGGTCAACTGCATTCTGAAAATATTAAATGCAAAATTCCAGAAATAAATTATGCCTACTTTTTAAATTGTGCACTATGCTGAGTAGCATGATGAAATCTACCATCGTTCAGCTTCATCCCACTTGGGATGTGCGTCATTCCTTCATCCAGCTGTAGATGCTCCTTTCCCTTTGTCACTTAGTAGCCATCTTGGTTATTACATCCACAGTACGGTATTGCAGTGCTTGTGTTCAAGTCACCCTTATTTACTTAAGAATGGCCCCAAAGCACAACAGTGGTGATGCTGGCATGTTGTTGTAATTTTTCTATTTTATTATTAGTGATTGTTAATCTCTTACTGTGCCTGATTTATAAATTAAACTTTACTATAGGTATCTATGTATTAGAAAAAACATGGTATATACAGGTTTCAATACTATCTGAAGTTCAGGCATCCACTGGGGGTATTGTAATGTATCCTTCACAGATAAACAGAGACTACTGTAATTACCTCTTTAAAGGCCCTATCTCCAGATACAGTCACATTCTGACATATTGAGGGTTGTTTAGGGCTTTAGCATACGATTTTGGGTGGGGGGTGGGGAGACACAATTCAGCCTGTAACAGTCTAATTGTAAAAAAGGTATGATAATTGTATGATAATTGTATTGTAATGTAAGAAGATGGGTAATGTAGAGATAGGTTCTGTAAAACCTATGGGTACCTACATAGGGATGAAATGAAAAGATGTAGAACTTGTTTTAAAATATTTAAACAAGGAAAAAACAAAGACAAACAAACAAAAGGACAGATTAAGTTACCATGCCAAAATCTTGATAATTGTTGAATCTGGGTCATAAGTGTAGGGGATCTTCTTTTATGTATGTTTGAAAATATTAGAATCATATATTTCAAATATTTAGAACCACGACACAAAAGAGGGTTTAATAGCATGGGGTCATTGATGATGACCGTCTTCAGTGTGTCTGCCCCTTGAGTTATACTTCTCCAGTCTGGTTGGCTTCTACCTCTGGTCGTCACCACTTGGTGAGGGACACCCTCCAGGAGCTTCTTTAAAAAAGGCGTATGGAATGAGATCTTGTATACTCGAAAATACCTTTGTTCTATTCTCATACTCGATTGATAGTTTGAGTATTGATTGCATTCTAAGTTGGAAATCATATTCCATCATATATATATTTTTGGTGGCTGGCTGGTACAGGGATCGAATCTTTGACCTTAGTGTTATCAGCACCGTGCTCTAACCAACTGTGCTAACTGGCCAGCCCTTTCTTCAGGCTTTAGAGGTATTGCTTCATTGTCTTCTTTTTATTGTTTGTGAGAGAAGTTGGAAGGACTCTGATTTCTGATTCTTTGTTTATGGCCTATTTCTTTATTTTTTCTCCTCTCTAACAGCTTGTAGATTCTTCCCTTTGTCCTCAGTTTTCTGGAATTTCACAGAAATTTCACACGGGCATGCTGGACCCTTTCAACCTGCATCCTTCAGTTCTTTGAAATTTTATTGAGTTTTGTTGTTATGATTTTTCTTTCTTTTTTCTGTTCTTTCTTTCTTGGGAATTTCTCCTATTTAGAAATAGAATTCCCTGTGCTGGTCCTCTAGAATATTCTTAACTTCCCTCCTTTGTTTTCCATATGTTTGTTTTATATTTTATTCTGTTGAAGACTTCCTCAACTTTATCTTTCAATACCTTTATTGAGTTTTTAAAATTTCTGCTATTATGTTGTCAATTTTTAAGAGCCCTTTTTTTAATTTGTAATTTTTAAAAATTGAAGCTGAATTGATTATACATAATTGTGGGGTTGACTATCAATACTTGTGTACAGTATGTGATGGTCAAATCAGGATAATTAGCTTATTCATCGTTACAATAAGTAATCATTCTTTGTGTCCATTAACCAATTTCTCGCTGACCCCCTCCCTCTCCCCCTCCTCCCTGCTCTTTTCCCGCTTCTNGATTTTGGGTGGGGGGTGGGGAGACACAATTCAGCCTGTAACAGTCTAATTGTAAAAAAGGCATTTTTGAGCTGTTGGGGAAATTTTATTATGAATGGGCTATTAGATGATATTAATAATTACTGTTAATTTTTTAGGTATGATAATTGTATTGTAATGTAAGAAGATGGGTAATGTAGAGATAGGTTCTGTAAAACCTATGGGTACCTACATAGGGATGAAATGAAAAGATGTAGAACTTGTTTTAAAATATTTAAACAAGGAAAAAACAAAGACAAACAAACAAAAGGACAGATTAAGTTACCATGCCAAAATCTTGATAATTGTTGAATCTGGGTCATAAGTGTAGGGGATCTTCTTTTATGTATGTTTGAAAATATTAGAATCATATATTTCAAATATTTAGAACCACGACACAAAAGAGGGTTTAATAGCATGGGGTCATTGATGATGACCGTCTTCAGTGTGTCTGCC